GCACCCAGCCAAGTTCATACTGGCACTGGGGCATTCCAACAAGCTCCCCTGTTTAGTTTCCCCACAACAGATCCCCACAAAGCACAGGCAATGCCCATCTCCTTACTGCATGTCYCCCAGTGCACGATGAGCTGACTGGCTTCCTGTGCAAAGGGTGACCAGAGGAAAAGGGAACTGCTGGTTCATTTGATTCCCAGAGAGAACTATAGAAAAACTACAATCATTGATTCCTGATATAGACAGWAAAACAGCTGTAAAATAACATTCCYTCAACACCRAATCTCAGCTGTGTGCATCCTATGATACAAGTGCACATGTCCATGACATCCAGTGTGGGAAATGATCCCAGTGGCCTGCCAACCAAGAAGTATGGAAAAGTTTCTTTCAGGGCACAGACTCAGCAGGGGCACAGGAGGGCATTTCACCATCCCCTCGAGGTGGTCTGGAGGGCATCTGCCATACAACCAAGTTTTCTACAACAGCCCTGGATGGGCCCATGCAGGCACTTGGTGTTTCTGCTGTTTTTTTAAGAGGATTTGTAAAGAAACAGAGTTCATGACCAGAGAGCAGCAAGGCTGCCACACTGGGATGTGGTTCATGAGCCCTAAAGGAGGCCTCAGCTGAAACATTGCCTGGCCTGTATAGGTCCCATGGTGCTGCTGGAACAGAAGGAGGCAGGAGTCAAGCAGAATCTGTGACAGCTGGTGATGACCTGCCAGGATCCTACATCTGCAGTGCTGAGGAAAGGAGACTTGGTGAGGACAAAAGGGACAGGAGCTAGCCWGACTCCAAGAACGCTGGGAAACACCAACACCAGCACTATGGAMCACATACTGATGAAAATGCACTTTAGCATCTTGCCCTGGATGGCCCAAGACTATGGACTGAACTCTCCCTAGCAGCTGAGATGACAAACCCTGCCCCAGGACCCATTTTTCTACCTGCTGTGTTTAAACATTGCTTTCAGACAGCACATTAGAGCCACAGAAGAGGCACATYGGATGCCAGTCTATTAAAAGAAACAAGTACAGCACATGGTGCCAAGCAGGGTGGAAAACAGGCCAATGCCAAGTCCTCTTGAGCCACACAGACACCAATCTGTCCCCTTCCCTCTGTGCCATTGACAGTCTGGGATGAAGCAGGGCAGCAGGGAGAATTATTTGTGCCCTCTGTTTCTTTATTTAGTACATCACTAAGAGCCACAGTGTCTGAGGAGTAAGACATTCCTCAGAGAAAAGACCTGCAGTCATTCATCTGTGCTCTGGCATGTGTCAATCCACAAATCACACTGTCTGTAACAGGCTCCAAACAGGAACAGTAAAGCTCAGTCCTTGAGCTAATGGTTACCCAGAAACCCGTAAAATAAACCTGTTCACCTTATGCTACAATATGCATTGTAAAAGAGCACCCAGGATAATGCAGTTGCCACATTCCAAGGTGAAACCTGGGAGCTGTCACTCTAGGAAGACTTGGAAAAGATCAAAGAGTACCCTCATGAGCAGTGATGGGCACCCTCATCTCTGAAAGGACACTCCAACAACTAACTTGCCACCAAGGACCTTGGAGACCTGAGCTCAACTCACACAACGCTATCACAGTTTAGAGCCTGGACTGTGACATTCACACATCTCTGACTCAAAGGCGCCACTTAGTGTGAYAGTCATGAGCTCCCAGAGACCACAGTCACCACACAACGGGCTGCTTSGAGGGCAGGAAACTCCCTCTTCACCCAACCCCACTTCAGGCTGAAACAGAGAAGAACTGACAAGAGACTGTTAAGGTGGAAATTTGCTCAGAGAACTGTCAGCTAGAGAGATGGAAATTTGTAGCCACTGCAGGTACTATAAATCCTGTGCTAAAATCACAATGCTTTCTGTCAGCTAAAGCAGAGCCGTCCCTGCAGGAGTGGAGTGGTTCTTCTAATGTAAAAATGCTCTAGAGCAACCACACACCTTATTCTGCTACAAAAATTCAAACAGCAAACAACTGTCCCCTGCCTGGATGCCAATCCCTCACCTGCCCACAGGCCGTTTGCTCACCGACTGCAGCAGAACGTGAGTTTCCACTTGTCAGATGAGCTGAGCAGCACCAGCAGCGCAAAGCAGAACASGTCTCGAACCATGACAAGGATGGTTTGAACAAAACACGTTCTGTTTCACAGGCAGAAGCACAAAAATCCTGCACATCCTCTCCAGCCCCGTTTTGCACCTCTTGGGAGGCAGCAGGCACAGCACTCTGCTGCTCCAGCTGACGTGGTTGAGATCACTGCAGGTTTCTCAGCGTGGCAGCAGACACAGCTCCACAGCCCAAGGCGGTCCAGGCAGGACTGTGCAGCCCATACCAGCACACAGAGGTGCCAGCTCCCATTTCTGACCTCAAAATAAGCACCCACTGACCCTCCAAAGCACAGGAACGTGCTTGCACCAAGCCCATTGCAGAAACAGAGAAATAACCACCACCCAAAGCCGCGGTTACTTGTGAGGATTCCTGGGCACAGAGGCTGCCAGTGGCCCCAGCAGGAGGCAAAGCCCTGCCCTGCTGCAGAGGAGGGCAGCAAGGTCTCACGATGTGAAAGAACATGGCCAACCACTGAGACAAAAAGAAACGGAACCCAATGTAAAATTCATCTCTTATCTCCATCACTTTGCTCATCTTTGAGACCCACAGTTGCTGCTGGAACTCCACTGTGGATCTGTTGCACTGACAGGGAACCTGAGCCAGAAGGGAACAATTTCTGGACCACCCTCACAAAACAAGTTATGAGTGGAGCTGAGGCAGCTCAGGGTTGACAGCAGGACCTCTCATTCCATAGGATGTCTTGTTCTGGGGGTCTGAGCCCACCAAGGCCAGCAGAAGTRCCCCAATCCTGTTCTCTGATGCCAYTTCCAMTGGTATGGAAAYATGGGACCAGAGTCCCAGGGAGTGTTTTACTGGAAAGAGCTGCGCTGGGGCAGTCTTGCCGTCCACACAACAGCAAAATGCCCTGGCTCACACTTCTGCCCATCACACCCTCTTCTCCAGCACTTCCCATGTAATTGCTGCTGACTGCCAACACCAGGGACACCCTCTCCAATCCCCCTCTCCCTGGATGACCCCACATCTCACCCTTATCCCATGGTATCTGTCCTCAGCCCTCATTACCCTCCCTGAATCCCRCAGAACTCTGTTTTCCATCCCCCATGTCCTGACCCATCACCCTGTGTGTCCCCTTACCCCTGACCTGCTTCTTACTCTCCCACCTACCTCCTTCCCCCATCTCTCCATCCTCCCTCCTTGCCTGGAAYCCCCACAGCTCCTTCCCCAGCCGCCCCTTAGCCTGACTCATCTGCCCTGGAGCCACCAGACCCCTTTTCACCAGTGCTACCCCTCCATGTATTGTTCATTTCCTCTGAATCTCACACAACCCCCTTTCCCAAACTCCCTCTCCCCAGTCTTCCCTAAACCTGCTCCTTCTCCTTTCCCTTTGCACTGCATCTTTTCCCTGGATTTTCCCACAACTTCTTCACTTCAATCTTCCCTGCACCATCCCCTTCCCTGTTTCCCACAATCTTCCCCAAATTCCATCATCTCTTTTCCTTGTATTTTCTTAACATCCCTCCGAACCCCTTCACCCTCATTTCCCGAGCCTCCTCTGAATTCAAGAAGCACCTCCACGCCGTTATTCTCTGCTGTTCCCTCGATTCTGCCATCTCCTTCCCCGGTCCCCCGAATCCTTCCCTGACAACTCCCGCAACTCCTGCCCTTCCATCTTCCCTACATCCCGCCAACCCCTTCACCTTGGTCCTTCCCCAACCTCTCCCAATCTCCCCCGCCCCAATCCCCTTCCCTCCCGTTACCCCCAGTCCCCGCCAGACCCTGCCCAGTCCCATTCTCCCTCTGCTCTCCTCGGGCACCCCATGTTCCCCGTCCCCCTGAGTCACCCCCCGTCCCTCTCCACACCGGCCCTCCCCAGCCTCACCTAGAACCGCCCCAGYTCCTTCTCGACAGCGGCTCCCTCCRGTGTCCCCWWSCCCCCTCAATTCCCGGCCACTCCATCCCCTCTGGCCCCCTCGCCCCTCTCCTCACCGGTACAGCCGCTTGGTGTGCAGCACCTTGGCCTCCGGCTCGCCGCTCTCGCTGGCGGCCCCGCCGCCCTGGCTCATGGCGCCCGCGGCGGGCCCGGCCCGGCCCCGCGGCCCCTCAGCACCGCCCGCGCCGCCGCCGCCGCCGCCCCCGGGCCCGTTCGGCCGCCATGGCTGCCCCCTGTCCCTCTCAGCTCTCGCGAGATTTCCCGCGGCTGCGCCGCGCCGGGCGGGCAGGGCGGCGGCGGGGGCCGAGCTCGCCTCGCGAGAGTTCACCCTCGCCGTGCCCTCACTTAGTGCTGGCAACATGGCGGCGGCGGCGGCGTCACCTCGCGAGAGTTGCCCTCAGGCTCACGCGAGACTTCCGTGCCCGCRCTCATTGCTGGCAAACATGGCGGCGGCGGCATCGCTGAGGGGGAGCCGAGCTCAGGGCGGACCCGGCGGGATGAGGGGGGCGGGGTTCTCCTGCCCGCACCGAGGGCTCGGCCACAGCCTTCCCCGTGGGGCCGGGAGAGGGGGGAACGGCGGAGGAATCTCTCCGCGCTCTGGGATCCCGCCGTGCCGGGGGTCCCGGGCATCTGAGCGGGTCCCATGAGGCCGCGCCTCCCTCAGAGGTGTCTTCAGGCTCAATTATCTGTCTTCAGGCTGAATCTTCTCACCTTTTGTAAACATAACTATGCCGTCAGCTAATTTCTGTAACAAAAGTTGCTCAGTAAAAAAAAGGACTTGTCTCAAGCATTGTGTTGTTATGTGACATAAATAWTCATTAGATAGGCGGGGAATGTGTATTAGGCGGGTTTATGTAAATTTTACTGTATAAAGAATGTAACTTCGAATGTAACTTCGCGTMACCCTTGGTGCGCTTGATTTTTTGGAAAACTCCACCTCGCACCCTCGCAGGATAAATAAGGAACAAACAAGGGCTGTCTTGTCTGTCTCGTTTTCAGACTGTGTGTGTTTAGACAGTTTTTACACTCGGCACTGGCAGAGGAGCCCAGACGGGGATGGTGACACGGTGCCCGGCGGGAGCCCCGCGGGGAGATGGAGCCGCGCCCGCCGCTCCGCTCCGCTCCGCCCGCCCCACCTGAGCTGGTTCGGCAGGTTTGAGGAGCACAGGCGGCTGCCAGAGTGCAGGAATCCCGCAGAGTCCCGGCCGAGCTGCCCCGTGGCTCCCATGGCCCCCCGGCTGTGGCCGAGTGAGTCCTGCAGGGAGGGGAGGTGGAGTGGGAGCGAGGCTGGGGTCCGGGATCCAGGGTCCAGGGTCCGGGGTGGAGGTGCGGCAGGCCCAGGAAACTATTTCAGCCCTACTTCCGTGAGTAGATCTCGGAGGAAGCCCCAAGCCGCTCTGTGTTTCAGTTTCCCCACGCTTGTGGCCAGGCCGGGGCTACTATGGTTGCGGGAATGAATGTGCTGAGAGGGTTGAGGGGGCGACGTTCATTGCAGGAGATAGCCGGGAACACCCAGGGCGGGCCAAGAGACAGGGTTACYCTAAAGCAGAACAACGTGGGAGCTCTGCCTTTACCTCCTGCACCCCGTGGAAGGGCACCCATCAGCCCACATCACCCGCTCCACAGCCGTCTCAGCTACAAGAGACAGCAAGCCTGGCCCTGTTCTCGGTTCCAAGAAGCAGCCAGGTCCCCTCTCTCCAGGACAGAGCCACGGAAGAGCCATTTGTATCATCCAGGCTCCAGCCAGAACCCTTGGGATGTTTGTGTAGCAGGGGAAGCAATTCCCAGGCTGCCCCATTTTGCAGCCAGACTTGCACCCCCAGGGTGGACAGTACCTGATCTCGCTGCCAGAGACCRGAGTGCAGGGATGCCAGGCATTGCTTTCCCCTCCTGGAGCAAGGGCAGGGAGATGGTGGGGGCTCCAGGGGTGCCAGTTTGTTCCCATTTTGTAACTGGGGCTGTGCATGTAACCCCAAACTTGCATTTTTGATGTAAATTTTGATGTAAATTCTCCTTTTTCCTGTCCCAGGGTGAAAGCAGAAGGGACAGGARCCTCATCCCCTCTGAACACCACAAGTGCAGGCAGCAGTGCCCTCAGCTGCRTCCCTGGCAGCACGGAGCCGGGCACTCTCATGGCTGCTGCAGACCCTGTCCTGCCCTCYGAGGAGGTGGCTTTGCTGGAGCTGGGGAAGACAACCCTCAACAAGGTGCCACCAACCCCAGATGAACATCTGGGGGACCCTGATGCCACCCTGCCATGGGACCAGTGCCAGCACAGCACCCGGGGCCAGCTGGAGCTCACGGAGATGAAGAGGCGCTCGAGTCCCGAGGGGGGCCATGAAGACCCTGAGGAAGCTGTTCCCACGTGCCCCCCAGTTGAGGCTGAAGATGAAGAGGTCTCCCAGCTGCCCGTGATGGCAGCCCATGTCTTTGTGCCCATCGACCCTCAGTGCATCGAGCAGAGCCCCTCCAAGCCAAAGCAACACCCCACCCCACGGCCCCACGAGGAGGGCAGGGGGGACCGTGTCCCCTCCAGTGACAGATCCAGCAGCCTCCACCACAAGCAGGTCTTCCTACCCYTCAGCCCCTCACGCTACCGGGACCCACTGGATTTTAACGGGCGCATGGCCAAGCCCTCAGCTGAGGGGTCACAGTGCCTGTGYGCCAGGGAATGTGGCACTGACAACCTCAAGGCCATAGCATCGGTGGCAGGGGCCCTGTTCCTCTGTCCCTGCCTCATTTATGGGGCCTATGTCTTCCTGCCCTTTGACGCCCCACTGCTGCCCACAGTGACGGCCCGCCTGGTCTACACGCTGCGCTGCGCTGCCTTTGCCACCTTCCCCATCGTGCTGGGTGAGCTGTGGGTTTGGGGAATGAGCCCTTTGCTCCTGGGGCTGCCGGAGCACAGTTGGGGCTGAGCTCTTTGTGGCTCTGTTGCTCCCRCCAGGAGCAGCAGATGGATTTTTTTCTCCCTCCTGATGCTCCTCAAACCTCACTGTGGCTCCTTTGGGCACCCACTCAGCCCCTCTCTCTGTTCTTCAGGAATGATCGTCAACGGCATCTCCCGCCTCTGCTCCTCTGCCCTGGAGCCCTTTGGGGAGCTGCACCAGGAGGTGGAGATCCACCGCACTTACGTCTCCCAATCTGTCCACCTCTTCATCCTCTACTTCTTCAACATGGCCGTGCTGGCCACCTACCTCCCACAGGAGCTCCTCAAGCTCATCCCACTGCTCACGGGGCTCTTTGCCATCTCCCGGTAAGTGGCTCCTTCACCCTGGGGTGCTGAYCACCAGCAAACACCATCCCTTGGTRCAAACTCCCACGCTGACAGCACCTCACGCAGCTCACCACAGCCAGGAAGGGTTCCTCATCCCGCATCCCACTCCCTGCAGTGGCCATGTGTGGGAAACCTCACTAGTCAGGACCACCAACCCCATGGCATCACCCTTAGCTGAGCCCGCACCCTCTGCCTTCCCCAGGTTGATTTTCTGGTTGTCCTATGCCATCGGCCGCTCCTTCCGTGCCTTTGGCTTCAGCATGACCTTCCTGCCACTGCTGGCCATGCTGCTGTGGAACCTGTATGGCATGTTCATCCTGGAGCCTGAGAACCTCCTCGCTGTGGCAGCTGYAAAGCCTGAGGAGCACTCCAAGGAGAGCCGAGCCAAACTCCGGCACTGGGGGTGAGGGAGGCTGGCAGATGGGGTTCCTGGGCCCTAGGGGCTCAAATTTGCCTTGATGCCCAGCACAGCTGGGCCCCTACTCCCTGCCTGGACATGGTGAGCTTTTGCTGGGCCCACAGAATCAGGTTGCAAACTCTGCACCAGGAGATTCCTGCTGGAGGATGAGCAAGGCCTGGAGCAAGACACAAGCCTTGTTCGCTGGGCATGGGGTGTGGGATTTGCCTCCCCTCCTGCTGGAGCCAACTTTGCCCAATAAAGCCCTTTACCAAGCAGATCTGTGGCTGGTTTGTGGAGGGTGGGTAAAATTCCCCATGGAATGATTCAGATCTTCACCTACAGGATGCAGTCATCCAGCCTCAAAATTATGTTTCCAAGAAGGAAAAGYGATATTTCCCCTAGACTGTCTCTCTCCCAAGCTTGCATTCCACTTCCCACTCCTGGTCTCAGCATAACCAGTCTCACCCTGCTTCTTCCTGGTGGAGGTTCAGCTCCCAAACCAGTTGGCTGGGCTGGAGGGAGGGAGCCCTCTCCAGGGAGGAATGCAGAGAGCAGTTGGGTTGGGTGACATGGCACCAAGTTTGCCACTGCCCAGGGCTAGGCAAGGCCAATCCTCCCCAGGATGGGCACTGAGATATGAAGGGACCCCTGGGAGTCGCACATCTGATGGCCTCAGTTCTCAGTCATAACCCAAAGCTGTTAAAAATCCACCCAATCCAGGAAAGGTCCCTTCAGCTCCAGATCTGTCAGGGGTCTGGCTTGTCCCACCTCCTGTCTGCAATGCTCTGTCACTGGAGTGGCCCACCCAAAACAGAGAATGGAACTCAAGGATCTGAGGGAATGGAATGAAGCTGTGTCAGGGAGGTTTAGGTTGGGTACCAAGAAAAGGCTCGTGCCCCAAAGGGTGCTCAGGCACTGCCCAGGYTCCCCAGGGGACACGGGTGTGAACAGTGTCCCTGGCTGAGGCTTCCCACAGGGCTGAGTCCTTTCCAGCCCTGACTGCCACATATCCCTGTTCCAACTGCTCCATCTGCTGCCATGTCCTTGTCCCAGCTCCTCYAAATGCTGCCCTGTCCCAGCTCCATCCCCTGCCAGTGTCCCTGTACCAACTCTTTAATCTMCTGACAAGTGTCCCTATCCCAGCTGCTCCATTCACTCCTGTGTCCCTGCCCCAATTCCTCCATCTGTCCCTGTCCCAGCTCCTCCACCCTGCTGAGTCCCTGTTCCAGCTGACCATTTAAGCCCTTGGTTCAACCAAATCTTTAAGCAATTGTGTTTCCAGCTCTGTAGAGGTTGACAACTGGCCTGAWGGCTTCACAGATCTTAATTTGGACATGGATAGCTTCTATTCATGAGAAAGCCCATGAGCAGAAAAATAACAAGTTTCTACCCATGAGAATGTAGCAYCAAYARAAGTAAGAAATTTAAACAACAGAAGGAGCAAAAACAAAGCTGCRCCTGGTGTTTTTCTGAGTGCCTGAGTGCTTAGGCCATAGGTAACCAAAAATCGTGTGTAGTAGTTGAGTAATAGCCAATAAATCTATTGTAGTAGTTTAGGAGCCAATGAATATGTAACACAAATGATAAACATTCCAGAGTGTATAAAAGAGACTGTGTGTCTGTGGGTGCTGTGGGCATGCTGCTCTGCCTGGAGTGGGCTTCATCCCCATCCCAAGAATAATGAAGAAAACCCCAAGCAGCCCCTGCAGCAGCTCTTCTGGGACTCTGACAGTTGAACATCTCAAAGGACTTYTCAAAATCATGTCATGTTTTGCCAYRGACKGTCAGAAGTCAAATGAACTACATTCAGGCTTGTCTTACAGCCTAAGAAAAACCAAATAAACTCTGTTTTCCCAGCCCAGACACAGGGAAACCATTTACCCCAGGTGATCAAAGACCAAAGTCTGTGAAAGAACAGGGGGAAAGTGCATCTCCCTTGGCTGCACTTACACTGCGCTGTCAACAGATCAAAAACCCAGTGAACTTGACTGCTGCACAGCTGAGTGACAGCAAAAAATCTGGGAATACAGGGCTAGGACCAGAGAACAATACAACCAAAGGACATGAGAGAGGAAGAGGGAAGAAAACAAGAACAGTCTGACCCAATCAGTGCTCGGGATCCTCGTTGTGCCTCAATTGTCTCAACGTTTTTAACTATCTTMCCTTCTGGAAAAGGCTCTCACATCAAGAAGCTCTCCACAGTCTACAGCATCTAAAGTTTACATTGATACAAAACTTCCATGGGATGGTGTAGAAAAGCAAGGACAAGTGACAGAGAGATGGGAAGGTAAATCTTCATGTCCTGTTCCCAGCTGCCTGGCGCAGGGAGTTGAGCTGCAGAGCCATTCTAAAGCCAGGGGGAAAGGAAGCAATTTTCCAGCAAAGCAGTTTACCACCAAAGGGATAAAGCTCATGCTTTGAAAATTTATTAGCCAATGACTAGGTAACAGAACTAGTCAAAATTAACTTACCCCAGCTGAAAAATTGACTCCTTCACCAGAATCAGGCATCTGATATGAGCCTGAACAGTCCTGAAACACAGCAGAGATTTCTATCAATTGATTAGAACTTAAAAAAACTACACTTACAAAATATGTATCAAAGGACTGATACTTTMTTTAGGTAATCCAGCTGTTGCTCTGACATGCTGAATTGCCTCCATAAGGTCTTGCTTTGTATAAAATCAGAGACAGGAGTCTGACTACATTCATAGTTCCTGAACACATTTAATTTACATTGTCAGGTGCTGAGGCCAGTTGGCACAGAATAACTTGCTCAACAGCTTCATCAKCTTCAAAAGCTCCATCTACTCTGTTGGGGAGTGGTCCCTGGACATCTTCACTTGAAAACTTTTTCTGGAAATCATTTGCAAGAGCATTATTTGGCACAGAGTGAGTGCACCAGGGACCTGCACATGGTCAGGTAAAGAGAACCGTGTTGCACATGGCTTTTGTCAGAGATGCTGCTGCTCCAGTGTCACAGCAAACTTCAAGAGTGTCTCAGTTTAGAGACAATTTTAGGAGAAAACGCTCTGGAATGAACATTTCCTCTAAAGAAAAGGGTTTYGGCAATCCCTCCCCATGGATAAAAAATGGATTTTCTGGATGAAAGTGAAAAAAACCCTGTTTATTTAATAAACAAGGTGACTGCAGGGCATGGGAAAAAATGAGTAACTAGATATGGAACCTTCAGAAACTCACCCCCACACCCACCCACTCACTCACAGCAGAACAAACAAACCCAAAATGCTCAGGGAAGGAAAARCCCTGCCAGCCACATGCTAGGGGAAAACAAAATGGCAAACAGCTTTGTCTCTGGGGAGGAAGAGAATCCACACAGCTCAGGGAACAAAAAAAAAACAGATGGGAATCTGGTGAACCTCTGATGTTGCTCTCCTCTTTTCAGCAGGTGAAGCTGGTGGATTTAGAGTTCTTTCCTTCATTGGTTCAGCTTCTCCCAAGGTCTGGACCGAGATGGGGTGTCCCCGCAGCTTCCTGCCAATGGTCTGATTCTCGGACTAAACTAATCCAAACAGCCTGAGAAGGAACAAAAGAAACCCCCAAAAAATGGCTGCTGCAGTCCAGGAGAGAAATCTTCTTGCCTAAGCTGACAAAAACTGAGCTTGCTAAAGCAAGAGAATAAGTCCATCCACACTGCAAACCCGAGCACATCAGAGTGAGCTCTGAACAAAGCCTGCCTTGAGTTCCCCCAGTGCCTGCCTCTGCCCTTAGAGCTACAGAACCTATTTCTGGGCATAAAGCAGACGATCAGGAATAGAGTATTATCATAACACCACCCCAAGACAAAGATTTGCTGCTGTAATTCCATTTTTCTTGGCCTTTCTGTCCAGTTGTCCAATTTCGTACATTTCCGAGACGTCTTGGACTCAGCTCATGGCAACAGAAGCTTCAGGAAGAATTGGCTATGGAAGCCTCATAGAGAGAATGCAGTGGCAGCCCAAAAAGCCAAAACTGTGCTGGGCTCATCCCCAGCTCCATGGGCAGCAGGTGAGGGGGGGATTCTGCCCCTCTGCTCTGGTGAGACCCCACCTGCAGAGCTGCCTCCARCTCTGGGGCCCCTGCACAGGAAGGACAAGGAGTTGCTGAGATGAGTCCAGAGGAGGCCACAGAGATGCTCTGAGAGCTGCAGCCCCTCTGCTCTGGAGCCAGGCTGGGAGAGCTGCAGGTGTTCAACTGGAGAAAAAGAAGGCTCTGGGGAGAACTTAAAGCCACTTCCAGGGATGAAAGGGGTTCCAAGAGAGCTGGGAAAGGACTTTGGACCAGGGCCTGGACTGACAGGACAAAGGGGAATGGCTTCCCACTGTCAAAGGCAGGGTTAGATGGGATATTGAGAGGGAATTGTTCTCTGTGAGGATGGTGATGCCCTGGCACAGGTTGCCCAGAGAAGCTATGGCTGCCCCAATCTTTAAAGTGTCCAGGGGCTTGAAACAACCTGATCTATTAGAAGGTGTCCCTGCCCATGGCARGGTGTTGTGGGTTAAGGTTTTTCTTTTTGTTTCCTCTCTTGGGGAATTTTTCTTTCCCATTTTGTTGCTGGGATACACTGATTGCCAAGTCATCCTTTTGCTGGCTGGGCAATTGGTAAAGACAATAGGACTTACATCCCACCCAAACAATCTTGCTAAGCACTGGGAGGGGGTGTGTGTGGAGGGGGGGGTAACTTTATATCCTGCCCTGCTTGGCTCAGAGAAGGAGGTCGGCCTGCTACCTGTGAGGGGAGAGCTCAACTGCTCTTTTCTGCAGAGCTCAGCATCTCCACGCGTTGGTTCCTGTTTTGCTGCACTGTGATTTTCTCCCCTGTGCCTTATCAGGGACCCTTGAGATTCGTGCTGCGGTGGTTGAGTTCTGCTGCATTCCGTTTCGCAGCCGTGGGATTCTGCTCCTGTCTTTGCTCATCCGGCCATTCTGGGGTTTCTTGCTGTCCAGAGGAGCACCAAGATCGGCGTTTCCGCTGTGAGTTTGCAGAGGAACTTTTCCTCTGTCCATCTCTGCCATTTTTGTGTCCACCATTGGCCACGCGGGAGATCTGAACCAGCCGGGACCCGCGCCACAGCGCCCCCTGCAGCTGTGGGGGAATCACTGCACCCGCCCTGCCTGGCCAGGAGCCAACAGCGCCCCTGCCGGCTGGGACTGGAACTGCACCAAAGGGGAGGCTGTGTCTCTGTAAGGTTGTCACTGGGTTTGGGACTAAGCTAGTTATTGTTATTATTATTGTTACTTTTTTTCACCTTGTTATATGTATTAGTAAAAACTGTTATTCCCTTTTACCCATATTCYTGCCTRAAAGCCYGTGATTTTYMAARKTWWWAWWAWTTSRRRGGRARGGGGGGTCAYAYCCACCACTCCWAGGGGGGTCCCTGCCTTT